GGGCCCCTCCCATTGCCCAGGTCCCCAAATTGAACTAATTATTATCCGGGACATTCAGTTCTATTTGAATTTCAGATAAACGGTGAATACACTTTAGTAGATGTACGTTCCATACAACAGTAAGGACGATCTGAGATTCCAGCGAGACGGGGCCTGGTGTTTATTTCATCGGGCAGCTCCACCAGGGACGCTCGAGGGGGAGAGGCCGGGGCTTCTCCAGGGCTGCACAGGAGCCCCACCAGCCCCGCTCCCACCACCTGGGAGTCGGGGGCTGGGCTGCACCCCACACACTCGACCGCCGACTCGCCGGCTGCCTGTGGTCCAGTCCTCCCCCCGTTTCTGCCTGTGCAGAATGATGGCCCTTTCTCTTGCTTCTGGAACTTTCTCTGGGTGTAGTCCTGATTTCATGCAGGGGACTCTGGGGACAGACCCCGGGGAAGGAAGGATACTCAGCGTCCATCCACCCTCGAGTGCCTCTCCTGGTGAAGTCCCTGCAGGTGGTCGGCCTCCTGCCCAGGATGCCAGGAGCATGGCAGGCACTCCGCTGGCCCTGGGCCACCTGGGATGGAGGTGGGAACATGCCAGACGGGGCTGACGGCCAGGGTCTCCCTGGTGGCAATCACAGGCCGACAAAGCTTGCACACAGGCGCCCGCGGAGCTGGTGCACGTGGCTGAAGAAGTAGCAGGGCTCCGCCTGCACTCCTGTCCCGGGTCACAGCAGATGGGGGGCGGGGGGAGCAGCCTCAGTGAATGCAGCCCCTGAACCCAGGCCAGTGCAGCGCCCAGGCCACCGAGAGTGGCAGCTGGCCCCTGGGTCCTTCCCACCAGGCCCTCCCAGGGCTGACCCTCTGCCACCTTCCCTTGCGACACCGCTGTTTGCCTTATTCCACAAATGCTTCCCATGTCCTGTGTCATCACTGCTAAGTCCCCAGAGCAAAAGCAGGCCACCAAGACAGTGGAGGGGTGTGTGGGGGGGTGCAAACAGGGCTTGTGAATGCACACTCCCGGGCCCAGTTCCAGGGCCCAGTTCTGACTGGGGGGAGCCTGGAACCAGCATTTTAACCCCAGGAAGTTCTTCATCCTCAAGCTTGAGAGGCCTGGCCTGGGGTTCCTGAGGAGCCAGCTGCCCCTTCTTTCCAAGCCCGTGGGGACCAGGAGTTGTCCATCCAAGGGAAGGGGGAGGCCCCACGTACCCTGGCGGTGGGCAGAAGACAGCACTCGGACCCCGCCACCTCACACACACCCCCGTGTGACCAGACCCGAGGGGTCCAGGCGGCCGGAGGCAGGGGGCTGGGTGGTGGAGGGCAGGGGCCCAGCTGTGAGCACGCGAGTCTGGCTCAAGTGGCAGAGAGACAGCGCAGACCCCCTGACCTCACGTCTGTTGCACCACCGGAGGTGTGACTTCGCACTAGTTACCCAAACCCCCTGGCCTGTCTGTGTCTTCGGCTATACATGGGGGTGCTACTGGCACCTTCTGGGATGTGGGAGTGAACTACGGCACACTTGCACAAGGCCACACAGGCCTCGGCACACAGTAGGTGCTCAGGAAGGACTCCCGTGTGCAGCGCTGCGTTGGGAGCTGTCCCAGCCTCAACGCTGCTCCACATCTCCCCTGGGCAGCACCCTGGGCTCACGCTGTGCCGCGGAGTGGGAATGCCAGGCAGAAAGGACTTGCCCTGGCCAAGCAGCCCACACACTTCGCTCCACGCGCGCTCTGCAAAGGTGGGCAGAGACCTTCCGTACGGCCCCTGCGGAGCTGTGGAGCTGGAGCTAACTGGCTTACCCGACACTTCGCAGCAGAGGGCCGGCTGCAGGCGAGGGTTGCCCCCTGCCGGCAGCGGCGCCCCAGCCCGCCCGCCCGCCACCCCTTCGGTCCGCGGCCCTTCCGTGTATCTGTGCACGCGGGCGTGTTGGGCGTGAGCGTGCGCGGACACACAGGCGTGCGCGGACACCGCGGACTCCGCACACGTGGACGCGTCCACACGTGCGCACCCGTACTTGCAACCACAGGCTCGCCCGCATGCACACACGTGCACGCACGCAAGGCTCACGAACACCAGCCTCCCGCAGCCCACGTGGTTCCTCCGAGGGGCGCCCAGACCCGCACGCACCCCCGGGTCCGCCCAGCGACTCCCGCCCGCTGCCGTGGGGAGGCCCCGCTTCGCCGCCAGGAGATGGGCCGCGGCGCGTGTGAAAAAGGCAGACGGGGGCCGCAGCGACCCACCGTCTGCACGGCGGGGACGGCCAGCACTCGAAGCGTCGGGTTAGACCTTACAACCCTGACGAAAGGTGGACGGGAGAGGCGGAGACCAGTCCGCCAAGAGTGGGCCCTGGGCGGGGATCGAACCGGCGTTCGAGAGACATGGCCGGGCATGCGCAAAAACAGGGGGCGGGGGGCGGGCGCGGGCGCGGGCACGGGGGCCAAGGCGGGCGACGTTGACGTGTCCCAGTGCCCCTAGCACCCACAGTTCCAAGCGCAGAGCCGCGTCCGGAAGCCCAGGAAGCCGATCTTCTTTCCTCGTCCTCTGATTCGCTACAAACCACTTTCATTTCCGCAGAAAGATCCCAGCCGTTTTCCGACCTTCGGTGAGACCTATTGTTGTTTTGTTTCCGGGGGAATCCAGCCGGCCGAAGGACGCTGAGCACTTCCGGGTGCTCCTCGCAGCGTCTGATTGGCCAGATTTATGAATATATTAGAGCACGAAAAATAGAGGTTTCTCACTCGCCTAAATCAAAATATAGGTGATTTAGAGTAGTCGTGGCCGTTCATAAAAGGTGTGAACACTCTCACGCGCGTGTCTCAGATGCACATGGACAGTCACCCTAGACGAGAAGTGACGCAGAACGAGGGCTTTAAATGGCCGGCTCGCGCAGGCTCGTTTGTGTTGTATGAAAGGAGAGAAGGTTAGCACTCCCCTTGACAAGGATGGAAGAGGCCCTTGGGCCTAACAACACGCATACGGTTAAGGCATTGCCACCTACTTCGTGGCATCTAACCACTGTTTTTTTTTTTTTCTTTTCCCCCTGCACCGCGCACGTGCAAGCCCGACCGCGGGGCCCGCGGAGGCCTCCCGGGTCTCGGGGCCTCGGGGCCTCGGCGCCTCGGCGTCGGGCTCCTCTGATCCACGCCAGGCCCCCCGCACCGACACGAGGGAGACCCTGGGCAAGCGCGCCTCTCACGGGCCGCGTCGGGATGCTAGGTTTCTGCCGCCCGCACCCCACTCCTGCCCGCGCCCGCGTCGTGGGCGGTGAGGCCCGGGTCTCAGCGAGGGCCCCGCCCGGGCACGGCGTGGGCGTCCCGGTGCACCCCCGGGCCGCCCTCCCAGGCCCAAGAGCGGGAAAGGATGTGCGTTCCCACTCAGGAACCCCCCCGAAAGGCAGCCCCGAGGGCTGGCGGGGCGGTTCCCCCCGTGTCCGGAGCACACGCTGCTGGGGCCTGAATGGAGCGCTGGGTTTGGGGCCTGGATGACGTGTACCTGACCGATGCAGGGGGATCAGACCGGCCCGACGGAGGACGCCGCTGCTGGACAAAGCGCCCAGCGCCATCCACGAGCTTCTGGCGGAACCGGGAGCAGGGCGGCAGGGGCCGCCCCGGCCCGCAGACCCGGGGCTGGACATTCCCTCGACCCCGCGCGGTTCAGACCAGCCCAGTGCTTGGGGACGTGGGTGCACACGTGTGTACACACTGAATACAAGTGTATGCGTACCTTTTAGAAGATACTAAAGCAACTGGGGGAGTCTGGATATCAGATACTTCGTTCAAGAGTATTTTAGGTGTGACTGTGGTATTGTGGGCCTGAACGCTCTTGAAGACGCTCCTTTTGCAGGTGCTGCGTGTTCGCCGCTGAGTAACAGGTGGAGGGAGAACGTGCCGCGCGCGAAGCCCAGGGAGCTGGGGAGGCCGGAGCCGTCGCCTGGGAGACGCAGAGCGGCCACGGGAATGGTCTGAGCTGGAGGCGGCCTAGGCGGGCCCCTTCCCCCACGAAGACCAGCCTTTACCTGGGCCCGGCGGTGTCTCTGTGCGTCTGCAGCTACAGGCCTCCGGGTGGGTGGTCGGAGTCGTTCCCTTTCCTCTGGGCCCCTTGCAGCACAGCCACCTCCAGAGACCACAAGCCCCTCCTGGTATCCGCTCCGTGGTCAAACAAGTTGGTGGCTGCCATAGCACCTCGTTTCTATCCAATCCGGGGTCCTCCCCGCACCCCTCACCGGGCTTCGCTCCCTCCCACCGCCCTCATCTGTCACTCACGACTTTCACGGAGTCCCTTGGGTTTCCCCCTGGAGACTCATGTATAAAATGAGCTGCAGAACGGACGTTGTCCAGACTGTCTTCTCAACCCACTGGGATTCTGCTTCCCAGTTGTTGTCAGTCTGGCTCAAATACACTCGTAAAACAATTCCTACAGGTGTCAACGTTTCTTACGTGGACAAAATGGCTGGGCTTTACCCTACCAGGGAAGGGGCACATAACCGTGCCTGGGACGTGAGGGTTTCTCCTTGAAACTTCCTGTAATCAAGTTTTGGTTTTAGTGAACATACGACATCAGGGGTGTCACACTCCTTCTCACCGGGGCCACATCAGCCTCGCGGTGGCCTTCAGAGGGCTGAATGTAGCTTTGGGACAGACTGTGTACGTGTAACTAACTGCTCCTCAGCAGTTAAGCGAGGGCTCCTCTTGGCCGCCGGGTAGAACCAGGTGGAGGCCGGGCTCGGCCCTCGGGCCTCGCGTGTGCCCCGGGGCTCCAGCTGCTCCCAGCCGGCGCGGCTGCAGGGTCTGGGCGACTTCCTGGGCCTGTTTCTGTCACACTGTCGCCGACTCGCACAGACGTGTGTCACCACAACACTCAGGGCTGTCCAACACTGAGAACAAAACCAAACCACAAAGCACGGACCTTCACCCCAGCGCCCTGTAGGCAAGACCCGTGCTGAGCCCTCTCCCGATAACAGCTCCGTGTTAAGGTAAAAACTCCTTAGTGGACCAAAATAAAAGACATGAAAACCTGTATTTTCAAAAAGAGAATGTATTTTTACATAAATCTACAACAGAGAATTCCAATGTAGAAAAAATACACTATATTCAAGGGTACAGTGCTCCACACACCGCCCGCCACTGCCCGGGCCAACCGGCACCAGCACCCACAAAACTGAGGGGCCCCGGCGTCCCCAGAGCCAGGCCCCGGGACACCGACACGAGACCTTAGCCTTTCCCACCAGAACACGCTGCAAGTCCAGGTCCCGGCCCGAGTGTCCGACCCGCACCGCACAGCCGTCCACGCCCTGCCCCCAGACGGGCGACCCCGAGGGCACCCACTTCCGGAGGACAGGGACCATGGGCAGCCTGCTCCCAGAGGCCTTTAGAGCCACCACGTTCACGCTGCGACAGTGGCCACAGGGGTTCCCCAGAAGCCCGTCTGAGGGCGGCCCCCCATCCTTGCCCACCTGCCTGCCCGAAGGCCAAGGCCTTGCCCACCACCTGGCATCACCTAGAGCCCCAGCACTGGGGCGTGGGCCTCAGCAAAGGGGAGGAGGGCTGCACCCAGCCCGTCGCCCCAGGTGGGACTGTGCGCCCCCTAGAGGTCCCAAGGCTGGCAGACTGGGTTTGCACCCCAGGGGGGACCTCGCTCCACGCAGGGGTCCCTGTGGGCTGGCAGCAGCCACATGACACTGGTTTTCGGTGCCTGCCCCACGCCCACCACTGTGGACACACGGCTACCTGGTGAGGGAGGGGCAGGAGGACCCCACCCCGCAGACCGGGGCCCAGGCCAGGAGCCAGGGGCCAGAGCCCCCGGCACCCCAGAGGTCACAGAGCCGTCTGCGGTGTCCTGTCGGGAGTTTCAGGGATCTCGGCTCCACCCCAGCAGGGACCCCCCCCACCCCAAGAGCACGTCCCTGGCAGCTCCAAGCTCCTGGGCACGAGGACAAAACGATGACGAGCCACTGGAGGAACCCGTCCCTGACTAGGTCCTCCCACCTCCTGCCAACCGGGAGACGGGCCCACCAGCACAGCCTGCCCCCCGGCCGGGGCGCCGTGCACTGCGTGAGCACCGGGGACCGCCGGCACGGGGACGGGGACCCTGACCACAGAGGGGTCTCACAGGCACAGCCTCCCACGGGGAGCCACTGTGGCAGGAACGGGGGTAGCGGGGCGCACGGTGACAGCGCCTGCCGCGGAGGGCGGGGCCCGCGGAGGCTGGGCCGGAGCGCGGCCGGGCGGCAACTGGGCACAGCGCTGCACGGGGCAATGAGACATCGAGAACAGCACAGGACGTTTACTGGAAAACACACAACGCTCAATAAACTGAACTTCACCTCACCCTTCTGGAATAAAAAATTAAACTTTTTGTGGACTGTTTGAACACAATACAGACTAGGAACTCTTCCCCAGTGTGAGAGGAATTGGCAAGAAACGTCTCCTTCTAGAACTTTCTGATGGTAACACTTTCCCCGAGGCCGTCGTCTTCAGAGGCGGCTCAAGTCCGGGCCCCTCCCAGATGCCCCGGCCCGGCCCCGGGACCCCCGAGACGCACCGCTCCTCGCCAGCCCGGCGGCCTCCCGGCAGCCCCGGGCCCCGGGCCTAGCAGTCGCTCTTCCAGAGCTTGATGGTCTTGTCGTTCTCCAGCGCTGCCGAGGCGATGATGTTCTCCGTCGGGTGGCACGCCGTCGAGATCACGACGTCTGGAAGCCGACAACAGTCACCACGGCTACCTCCAGGCATGGGGCCACTGCCCCCCGCCCCCCCGCCGCTGCCCGCCCAGCGCTGACCACTGCTGCGCACAGCCACGCACTGCTGGCTGCGGTGTACACAGAGGGACCGGGGACCGGGGGACCGGGGGACCGGGGGACAGGGGGCGGGACAGGGAGGGGGCGGGGGAGACGGCAGGCTCCGTGACACTGAGCCCCGGGCCAGAAGGCCGCAGGAGCAGCAGCCTCCGGGAGCCAGTCTGCCCCCAGGGGACGGGCTGGCCAGGGGCCGAGCTTCCTCCCAGGCTGTCCCCGAGGGGCACAGACCCCGTGCCGGGCGCAGGCCGACGTCAGGGGCCCTCTCGCTCCAGGCTGAACCCCACGGGGTGCTGTGTCTTAGGGGGCGCGTCCGACACACTGCTCTCTGCCGACTGCAGAAGGTGCAGGACAGGAGGGGGAGGGGCGCCAGGGCGGATGGGCACCCCGAGTGCTGAGCACAGACAAAGGGGGACCCCAGGTGCGGAGGAGCCGGCAGGGGCAGCCCCTCAGAGCTCAGGCCGCCAGAGACGTCGCGGCTGAGGTCGCCTGGCCCTGGCCGGTCACCTCCGGACGGTGGTGTCGCCAGGCCAGCAGAGGGCCAAGGAAGGAGGTGGAGCCAGGACCCGAGCACCGGCGCCCATCCACACCCGTCCCCGGTGCGCGGCCCGCGGCCCCGCGCAGGCTCACCTGTGTGGCCCTGCAGCTTCTGCACGATCTCCTTCGTCTGCAGGTTCCAGATGTACACCAGGTTGTCCTCCGAGCCCGACACGATCCACTGGGGGGCAAGGGCAGAGGGTGAGGCGAGGCCCCACCTCCTGGCGGCGGGGAAGGAGCCCAGCCCCCGAGCCCCGGGGGACGGCGGTCCTGGCCAGGCGGCTCTGCGCCCCAGCCCCTGGATAGCACGCGGCGGACGCCTGGGATGCCCGGGGGCGGGGAGGGGGGGTGCAGAGGGTCCACTGAGTCTTCTCTGCAGAATGGGGGCGTTCCTCACTTCCACAGTGACTGCTGGTCCGCTCGTTCTGAGCGTCTCCCGCTGTCGGCTCCCGGTGGGGAGGCCGGGGCGCTGCGGAGGAGCGCCGCTCGGCCGGAACGTCCGACCGCTCCCCACGCGGCAGACGAGAGACTTCGAGAACCGCCTGCGGCGCGTCTGACCGGCCACAGGCCCTCCTCCACGCACGGCACAAATCCTCCCTTGCGTTTCCGATGCATCTATACCTTCCTTGACGTGATCAAGAACACGCTCAAGTCGTTGGTATTTTCCCCCATCTTCAACGTTCAAGCGACCACACAAAAAAGTCACCGACTCTGATGACTTTTCAAACGCAGGCCGACGGGACAGCCCTCACGGCACACCCGCGCAGCAGTGCCACGGACGTGTCAGACGGCAAGGCGCGTCCAGAGCCGCCGAACGGAGGCGACGCCAGGGACCTCTCGGCCGCCCAGCGAAACGTCCCCTTACACTGCCACTTCCTAAGGCGAGCGTCACCGTCTCCGCCACACGCCAGGGCAGCAGGGTGGGCGGGGCCCTGGCCAGGAGCTCCCCCCACCCCCCGCGCCAGGTCAGCCGTCACCGGGGCACGGAGTCCACCCCTTTGGGAGTGAGCTCGGCAGGTGTGGGGGCAGGCGAGTGAGAACCGCCCCCCACCCCTCGGGCGGGTCACCAGCCGTGCCGCGCGACCTCATCCGGCCGGCCGACAGACGCCCGCAGGCACGGGCGCGGGCCAGAGCCTCACCTTGCCGCCGGTGACCGAGAAGTTGGCGAAGATGCAGTACTTCTCGTTCTTGTGCCCAGTGTAGGTCTTCAGGCACTGCGGGGACAGGGCCGCGCCGCTCAGAGCCCTGCCCGCCCGCCCAGCCCCCTGAGACCGGCGCGCAGGCCCAGGAAGGCCGCAGCACTGAGCCCCCGTGGTCCAGCCTCGGCCTGCCCACTGGCCATCGGTGAACCCCTGGTCTCAGAAGCCTGCACTGAGCCCACGCCCCGGGGCGGCTCCCCGAGTGCCCTCTGCCCAGGGCCTGGCTCAGCTCGGCCACGGTCAAAGCCTCACCCGGGACCCGCCCACCCAGAGCCCAGGCCCAGCGAGGGGTCTCTTGGCCACTCACCTTCCCTTTGCTGTAGTCCCAGAGCTTGAGTGTGCTGGAAGGAGGAAGGGGGGGTCAGACACGCACCCCCGGGGTCTCTTGGAGGCTGCCCGCTGGCGCTGGGCCCCCTCCCGCTGCCCCCGAGTTTGGAGCCAGGCTGGGCCGGAGCCCCCCACCCCTTCCCTGTGCAGGGGCCCAGCACCGTGCGGGGTCCGGGGACTTCAGGACGGACGCCCCCGGGCACAGGGTGAGGCGAGGACCCCAAGTGCTTGCCGGCCAAGGACGGGCTGCCGAGTCGTGCCCCCCACCGCTCAGGGGTTGTCCCGAGCCGCTGGACAAGGGCTGGGGAGGCCTGGTTCCAGAAATGCCCAGAACAGACCTGGGCGCCACACGGCCCCGCGCTCCGGGGCCGGGGCCGGGCCTCACGAGGGCTCCCCGCTGGGCACACAGGGAAGCCGGCGCCCAAGGGCCTCCTGCAGAGGGCGTCGGTCAGGGCCATGGCCGCAGGAAGGGAAGTCGGACCCCAGGGGGGTCGGGGGGGGGACAGGAGGCTCGGGGCAGACCCCGAGAGCAGCCCGAGCCACCCCGGCACAGACCGAGACCCGCAGCCGCCCCAGCAGCTCGCAGCGGCAGCGGGGGCGCAGGACACCTACTTGTCCAAGGTCGCAGCCAGGATGTACTTGCCGTTGGGGGAGAACTTCACGAAGGACACGGGGGGGTTGTCGTCATCTGCGTGGGGACAGAGCGGCTGACTCGGGGGCCCTGGGCCCCAGCCCCAGGCAGGAAGGGTGGCACCCATCTTGGCTCAGGACCCTGGGGGGGCGGCCCACCTCCTCTTCTCCAGCCCCCGGCCTGACCTGAGAGCCCTGCCCGCGACCCCTCTCCAGCCAACGGGGCCCCTGCAGGGGCACGACGCCCCCGGGAGCGCTCCCACACGGGCCCCAGGCCCCGGCAGCAAGGGGGTGGGGGCGGCTGCGGGACAGCCTGGGACCGAGCCCCCAGCCGGCGGCCTCACCGATCAGCGTCTTCAGGCACTGGCCCGAGGCGGTGTCCCAGATCCGGCTGCAAAGTGGAAACGAGCAAGGCTTCAGAAGCCGGTCCCAGCCGGCAGCACGTGGACAGGCCCCCAGCCTCCCCACCGGGCGCGCCCAGCAGCTCCCCCCCCGCCCCGGCCCGTCCTCTGGCCTGCGGGGGCCCCGGAGCCCGCAGAGGGTCGGGGGGTCTCCAACCCGAGCCCGCCGCCGGCCCCGAGGGTGCGCCGCCAGTGCAGCCGCCAGCGCAGCCTGGCCCACCGGGGCCACGGCGACTCGTCTCCTGCTCGCGTCACCTCTGCTCCACGGGACGCGGCCCCCTCGCGTCTCCTCCCTCCCCCAGCTCGGAGTGGGACGCTCTCCTGGGGCCGGCGCCCCTCCGCCCGACAACAAACCCATGAGGAGCCCCCGCCCCGGCCCAGCCCCTCCCTTGGCTGCACGGCCCCCCCACGGACTCCGTAGAGCCCGCCTGCACCCCTCTGCCCGAGCCCCTGTCCCCGGGGCTCCTGCGCCCCCGTCTGTGGTGGGGGGTGTCTGGATGCCCCACTCAGGGCAGACACTCCCTCGGGGGGACACCAGGCGCGGCAGCGCCGACTCCTCAGCGGCGCATGCAGCCCCCTCCCCTCCCCCTCCCCCTCCCGCCACCAGCCGGGCGGCGGGCTGCCCGCCCCGCACTCACCAGAGCCCGTCGTAGCTGCTGGACACGATCAGGGACCCGTCGCGGTTGAAGTGCACCTGGGGGGGGAGACTCGCTTTCAAACCCGCCCCCACGGCCCTCCCTGCGCCGCCCTCCGTGGGGCCCTCCGGGCCCTCGGGCAGCGCGGGGACGGTCACTCTCCCGGTGTCTCCCCGGCAGCCGGTTGGACGACGAGACAGAGCAGGAGGAGAGGCCCGAGGCAGCCCGGGGAGGGCGCACACCCGCCGCAGCGACCTCCCCCTTCCCTGCCCGCCCGGGTCTTCTCGGGGGCGGAAGGACCGCAGCGCTAGGGGCTCTGCTCACCGTCGGCTGCTGCCGCTTTATTCCGCGTCCTGGGCCAACTCGGCCCGGGACGAGCCCCTCACGACCAGGACCCCCTTTCCGACACCGCCCTGCTCCCTGCGGCGGGGGAGCCCCCTGACGAGGCATTGAGCCTCCCTCCCCGGCCACGCAGCAGCTCCCCCGCCACCCAGGCCGGGTCACCACCGTGGCACTGCTGCCAGGCCACCGCGCCGTCCTCCGCTGCGCAGCTGCGTCCCCGACTCGGAGGTGCCGGGGCACCGCGCCGTGAAACCGAAACGCCCCACACCGGCCCACACACACAGCCGCCGGCACCAGACACGCCGAGGGCTGGAGGCCGGGATGGCGCCCCACCCCGCCCAGGGGTGCGGGGCCCAGTCAGCCTGCCGGGACGCCCATGGGCACCACACCAAGGGCAGCCTCCTCTCCCAGCAGCGGCTGCAGAGACCAGGCGCGGCGCCCCCGGCGGGCTGTAGGGGCCCGGCCCTCCTGCAGTGGTTTCCGCGTGTGCACGCGACGGCCGAGCCGCCACCACGGTGCTCCGCAGAGCCCACACGCACGGGCGTCTCCCCCTGGACACGGCGCTCGGCGGCCGCGAGCGGCAGGTGGCCTGGGTGCCGATCGCCTGGCCTGGGCCACCGCCCAGCTGCGGCCTCAGCGTCCTCCCCTCCCACCGGCCGCATCAGCCAACGCCCTTCAAGCCGCTGGCAGCTGCCCCCAACCGTGTGGGGCCCAGGCGGCCTGTTCTAACCCACGGCGGCCCGCCCGCGGCCACCTGCTCCTCCGGCCTGCAGAAGACCCTCCTCCGGAGGCCGCCGCACCCGACGACGCACAGATACAGGCCCCCCCCACGTGCCGACGCCCACTTCCTTCCCGCCGCGTCCAAGCACCGCCTCAGCCAGCCCGGCTCGGGCGCCGGTCAGGGACGCGCGAGGACTGCCCGGACTGCAGTCACTCAGAACCCTCCAGCGCCAGCCCCGCGGCAGGTGCACGGTGCCGGGGGCCGCAGACCGCACGCCTGCAGGTGGACCAGCGGCTGCAGAGACCTCGCCGCCACCGGACGGCGGCTGCGTGCTGGTGAACACGGACCCAACCCAGGGCGCGGGGCCGACTCCAGCGCCTGCGGCTCCCCCACGGGGACCCGCCGCTCACGGCCTGGCCTTTTTCCCAGCGAGCTCACTTCCCTTTCATAGGAAACAGAGATCAGAGGAAAAACGCCTCCAACACAACGACCCCCTCCACAGGCAGCTCTCCACGCAGCTCCTGGCCCCCCCCGCATGGTGGCCTGTGATGGCCGGCAAGGGCCGGGCCCCTGCCAGCACTCGGCTGCCGCCTCAGCCCACAGACAGGCTCTCCCAGGCCGGAGGGGCCCACAGCCACGCCCCACGAGACCTGAGAGGGTGGGGGGACCGGCTGCCCTGACACGGGGAGCCCTCTGTCCGCACGTGACTCCGTCCAGGGCTGACGTGCCCCCAGGCTCCCCGCTGACCAAGGTGCACTCTGGCCGCATTTCCCACTGAGCAGCCGACGGCCCCGTGCGGTGACCCTGTGTCCTCCCTGTGCTCTCCACTGCCACCCGGGAAACTGCAGGGCTGGGGCCGCACCCGGGGGCACCCATGGGGCCCGCCGGCCTCCAGCCACCACCCAGCTGATCCCAGCAACTGACCCCCCCCAGGCCAGGGCGGGGCTCCTCCTCCAGGGCTGACCACTCTGCTCCAGGTTAAGTTTGGGGACACCCCCCCACACTACAACCCCTCGTCCTTCCCAGGGGCTGGGAGGTCACCCAGGGTCCCCACGGCCCCATCCCCGGTCATCGCTCCGCACTGCCGCTGACCGTCAGGGCCGGGCGGTGCCGAGAGAGGGACTCACGGCTGAGACGGGGTCCGAGTGGGCCGGCAGGGTCTTGAGACACTTCCCCGTCTTCACGTCCCATATCCGCACGCTCTCGTCAAACTGAGGGCGAGGGGAGAGGTCAGGGCCGGCCCGAGACCAGGACCTGCCGGCGCCCGGGCAGCGCAGCGCAGAGGGCTCGGCAGCAGCCCCGCCCCCCCCCCGCACCCCCGCCCCGGGGCCGCCCACTCACGGAGCCCGAGACGATGAGGTTGGACTGCGGGTTGAAGTTGCAGCAGAAGACGTAGTTGCTGTGTCCCTTCAGGGTCTTCAGACACTTTCCCTGGAAGGAGCGTCGTCGGAGAGTGAGTCCCGCGGGCCGACCGCCCCACGCGGCACCCGGGGCACCCGCAGCACCCGCGGCGGCCGCTCACCGAGCTCACGTCCCAGATCTTCAGGGTCTTGTCGTCCGAGGCGGAGACCAGGAGGTTGGAGTCCGAGGACCAGGCCACGTCCGAAATTCCCTGCGAGGGGCACACAGGGCCACCGTCTCAGTGGGGGGCACACGGCCGGCCCGGCAGGCCAGACCCTGACACCCAACTACAGGAAGACAAGCAGGCCCCCCGCCCCACAGCCCCGGGCGACACCCGCCCCCCCAAGCTCCACAGGCCCCTCTCCCACCCACGCAGCCCAGCGGGCTCTCCTTTTCCACCCACGTGACCTTCTCAGTAAACCATCCCTCGTATTCCAGCGAACCAACGGCCAACAACCCCCAGAGAGGATTTCGGGGGAGACCCAACACCTTCACCCGGCAGGCCCGGGACAGGGCCCCCCCCCACCCCAGTAGCCGCTGGCGCCAGGCTGCCCAGCGGTCGCCCCAGGGTGCAGGGCGGACACCTACCAGCTTGTGCCCGGATATGGTCTTCTCGAACTTCCCATCGTAGGCGCCCCAGATCTTGATGAGTTTGTCTGCGGCTGGAAGACAGAAGCAGCAGAGTCGCGCTGCCCGGCCGCCCAGCGTCCACGACCCGGGCCCTCCCACAGGAGCCCCCAGGACCAGTGGGAGGGGCCCTGAGCCACACGGGAGAGCCAGCGCCCTCCCCTTGCCCACCCCCACCACCACCCCCGGTGGCAGGGGGCACAACCCAACAGGGAGGGACTAGTCAACCTCCAGGCTCACGAGTAGCCCATGCCGCACCGACCCACAAGGGCGGGCACCGGCGGCCCCCCAGCGGGCCCCTCCCGGCGGCCGAGGCGCCCCTGGCACCTACAGGAACTCGCCAGCCACTCCCCGTTGGGGCTGAACTTCACGGAGGACACCGCCTTCGTGTGGCCAGCCAGGGTGAACTTCAGGGCGTAGTTCGGCTTCACGGGCGTCGGCTGCAGAAGAGACGGCGCTGGTCAGCGGACGGTGGGCGCCGCCGTCCGGTCCAGCCGAGGGCCAGTCTGGGATTGACTCCCCGAATGTAACCTCCGCGTCGGACCTACGTTCGGGCTCCAAACCAGCGCCCAGGGCCTCCCCGAACCCCGCCTGCGGCCCATCTGGAACCCAACAAGTCTAAACTCGGCTGCTCTTCCTCCTCCTGCAGCCCCCCTCAGTGTGGGGACCCCTGCCCCCCACTGCGGGAGCTCGGGGCAGGCGCCCACCAGCAGCGCAGGCACGCCTGCAGACCTGCCCTGGCGTCAGATCTGTGGGCCGGGGGCGGGGCGGCTGGTGGGGGGGCAGGGCGCGGGGGCTTCACAACAGACACTGTCTTCCGAGGAGGACGGAGGAGCCGCGTTGTTGCTGAAGCCCCCTCACCGGGGGACAGGGCTGGGAGCCGCCACATGACACGCAGGTGAACAAAACCAGCAACTTCTGGGCGAGGGGGGAGGGCAGGCCGACGAGCCTGAGACCACCCAGGGCCCTGCAGCCCAGGCGCCCCCGCCGGCCCCCGGCGCCCCCGGGGACTCGCCTTGCTCTGTGCGGCCGACGACGAGGGGGTGGGCTGGGCTCTGGCAGCCTCGGTCTCCGGCTTCTTCTCCTCCGTGGCCATGGCTCTGAGGCCCGCCGGGCGGGGTGGGAGGCCCGGCGGAGGGCGCGCAGCTCCAGACAGAGGACTCGCGGCGGGCGTCTGCTGATCAGGACCTACGGCCAGGGGCCCAGGCCCACGAAAGGAACACAGTTCAAAAACTAGTTTGTAGGGAAGAGGACGAAACCTGTCTGGCCACTGTCCTGAGCTCAGGTGCACTGCTCCAAACAGAGGCACCTGACCTTGACCGCGCTCCTTGCCCTTGCGGATGCTTCCCAGACGCTCCACCAGACACCCCACCACCCTCTTCCGTGACTGTCCCCAAAGACACGCCAGCCACTCTGTGACCCCACAGGCACGCAGCGAGGCAGGCAGGTGCCGTCTCCTCCAAAGGCCCTCGCGGTCAGAAAACAGACCGAAGGCCCCGGTCAGGAAGCCCGCCGGCCCCACTGCAGGGGCCCGAGCCTCAGGGCGCACAGACCGGGAGCTCATCCAAGTCCTCAGTCGCGTCCCAAGTGACACGGTGCTCACAGCCACGCTCCGTGGTGCTCAGGGCACCCTCCTCACGGTCACGCCCGCCTTGCTGTCGCCCTGTGCCGGCTGCAGGCGCAAGGCGCTCCCACGGGGCTGGCAGCTCCCAGGACTACGGGTGGGGAGACTCGGGTGGGGAGCCCTGGCCAGAGCCAGCTCTGCCCGCCTGCGGCAGCCTATGTGTTCAGGTCACCGCAGGTGAGGCTCACACCGCAGGAGGGGACACCACGACAGTCAGAACTCCCGGGGAGCTGCAGGGCAAAGTGCTGTCCAGAAGCACACCAGGGGGTTCGGAAACCAAGGAAGAAGCGTCAGTCAGAAGGGGGCCACCCAGCCCGCGGCCGCTGGAACCACCACCAGTGAGTTCACACACTAAATCGTCGCCTGGGGCTCGAAACTCGAGTTTGCACGGGCTCCGAGCAGTGCAAGTCTACGCCCAAGCAGGGAGGAGTCACTCGGCGACACAGCTGTGCAGGGCCTGGCCCCGCAGGCCGCCTGCAGCCGGGATGGAGCCCCGGCCCTGAGCGGGAGAGGGAGGGCAGGCCGCTCCACCTGCCCGGGAGACCGTGCCCGCACACCGCTGAGGCTCAAAAAGGCGCCTCCGCCACCCTTTCCCGGGCCGGGGCCGGGGGTGGGGGTGGGGGCGCTGGGCAAGGGGGCGTGGCTAAGGGCAAGGGCCGCAGAGGCGGCAGCGGGACCACACAAGGCCGGGCGCTGTGGAGCGCAGCAGGCTGCACTCGGAGGTGAAAAGAGCCCCTCGGGGGGCCCAGACAGGCCGTTTTAGCATAAAAATTGAGACCCACCAGGAGGCAGGCGGGGCTGGAGCACACCCGCCGCTCCCAGGTGAGGAAGCAGGATGCCGGCCCGGCCGCCCATACCTGGGGGCCCCACGGCTGCTAACACACAAAAACCCGGCCGGGCTTCTGAGAGCGCTGCGGGACCCCGCGCCCTCCGAGTGTCTGCCCAAGGGGAGGGTGGGCGGCGGGCTCGCATTCTCCATGACCGCGCCCGTGGCTCCGTGGAACCATTGTTTTGTGGCCGCGGGGAGGCTTCCTAGAAAGGAGGTCTGAGCAGGGGAAGGAGGCGGCGGCTGGGAGGTAGCCCCCGGAGGGAGACCCCTCCTCCTGCCTGCGGGCTTTTCCCCCGGGCGGGCCCGGGGCCGCCCGAGCCGCGGGCGACTCCAGACGCACGTGAAGTGCGGGCCGCTGAGCTCCGGGGCGGAGGCCAGGCCCGCAGGTGCGGGCAGACAGGTGGTCGCCCGCCGGGCGGCGCGCTCTCCCGCCTGGGTCCTGCTGTGCCCCGGGCTCCGCTCCCGGGGACGGGCCGCCTCGGAGGCGGCCTCGAGCAACGGGTCCGTCCGAGCGCCGGGAAACGGCCCCGGGTGTCTTTCCACATCGCCCAGAAGGGCCCCCGCAGGCCGGACCAGAAGCTGGCGGGGGCTGCAGGGCGAGCCGCGGCAGAGACCGTGGGGGTCGGGGGGCCTGCGGGCTTTCTCCGGAGCGGCCGCGGGGACCGGGGCAAGTGCTGACTAGCGGCAGAAAGAAGCCGCAGCCCACGGGCGGAGGGCTCGTCACCAGGCCGTTGGGGAGCGGCCGCCGGGGTGAACGCCCGGGACCGCCGGGAACCGGTGAGGGCCCGCGGGGGGGTGGGGCACGGGGCCTCCGGGGGCGAGGCTGCAGTGAGGGGCCGAGGGGCGCCAGGCGGGCACCCGGAAGGCGAGGCGGCGTGGAGGCGCGGGGCTTCTGCACCGAAGGGCCCCGGCGGGCCGAGGCCAGGCCCGCCGGAACACGTGCGGCAGCGGTGGTTTGGGGGTGCAGCGACGCGGGGCCCCCGCGCGTGCTCGCGGGCTGGGCGTCCCCCGCTTACCTCCCGGGCTGTGGCGAACGGCAGCGGGCGCTCCGGGAGTCGCGCTGGCCGCCGACTGGGCGGGAGCCGGGCCGAGCTCGACTGGTCGGCGCGGAGCCACAGTGCGCGTGCGCGGAGGGCCCAAGCGGCGTCGGGGCGGGGCCAGAGCACAAAGCCGGCCTCTCGGAGAGGCGCTACGGGCAGCGGCAAGGGGCAGAATGCCTCGGGCGGGGCCAACGCCTTAAAGGGACAGTACGCCGTGTGCGCTTTCTGCTTAAAAGCCTTAACTCCAAACGTGGCCGGCACAGGCCGTCCTTCCCCTGCACTTTCTAAAAACTGAACTATAAAGACACTACCGCAAAGTGCTACGGTGCCCCTCGAGTGCTCACATCCTGAGCTCGCCCTGCAGCGGTGCCCCCCGGGAGGAGCTGGCGGGGCCCCAACGTTTCTTCTGGGCTTACGTCCCTCCCTCCAGCGTCGCGCGCGCGCGCGCGCACGCTCCGAGCGGCCGCTGACGCGTCCACCGCACACAGCGCGGCCCTGGCCGTGGTCTCCGCTGAGTGTCTCCACGATTGCGCGGGACCCTTACCTTCCCACTTGGAAGCGAAGACCCCCCGAGGCCCGAAAGCTTCCGCATACACCGGCTCTGCGCCTCAGTACTGGCTCTCCCGCAGGGCGCGCCCGCTTCCCTCCCGAGCCCCCCACCGAGGAGAGCCTATCAAACACGAAGGCTGCCCTGCCCTGGGCAAGGTGATATCCCTGACAGGTATCGCCACCTGCAGTTACACAGGGGGAGAGGAGGCCCACGGAGGGGGCTCAGGAGCGGAACGAGAGCCCGGAGCCGCTGTCCTGGCCCGGAGCCCCGTGCAGTCTCCCCGTCCTGCGCCACTTCGGCTGCCCACGTGGGTCTTAGAGTCTTAGAGGTGGCCGTGGTCTCCCAGCTCGACGCCCCACCCCCGCCCGCGGGCAGAGTCACAGGCGGTCTCTTATTTCCCAATTAAAAATGGGGACACCGAATATGACTTGGTATACTGTGCAAACAAAAGGACAGCGCATTTGAAATGGAAATGCCCGGGGAAATGAGCTGCGTGGTTGCCATAGAGACAGATCAGAAGACTGGCAGCTGGTACGAAGCCCCGAGGAGGCCGAGTCCCCCGAGGAGGCCGAGTCCCCCGTCGCACCCAGGCCCAGCCCCAGCGCGGCTCGCGGGGGTTCTCTGCGACCCAGAGGCCTGTGCTCTCACCTGGAGCAGGAGACAGTGACTAAAGAAGTGACCGACCAGTTAAGGATGAAGAAGGGCATCTCCATCCGCCCGCCTGCGCTGGTTCCGCGGGTTTGGCCTCGTGCGAACCTCGAAAGCGCAGTCGGAACTTCTAAAACCCCAGCTCGACTCTGTCACACCCAGTTTAAGACGCAGAGCCGGCTTCCCAAGGTCCTCGGTTCAAACCCAAACTCCACTGAGAGCGTTTACCAGACCCGCCTCCCCCTCCAGCCTAACACCACCCCCAAAACGTGCGCCCCACGTCCCAGCGCCAAGTTGGAAGTACTACATCCAGCCTTCCAGCTCCCGGGCGGAGCCGCATGAGGGCCCTGACCCCAGAACTCAGAACTCAGACCAGGTTCCCGGGTGAACTGGCCTCGCCTCCCTCCTCCGGGAGGTAGAAACTCCCAGTGAAAATGAGAAAATCCTTAACTTTGTTGAGTGCTTTTCCCGTCCATCCCCATAGTCACGGCTAAAACCCTGAAACCGAGTAACACGGCAGATAAAGCGATTTAACAGAAACTTCAGAAAGCTCGTCCACCCGGGCCCGGTTGCTCCGTTGGCCGGGCGAGTCATCGAGGCCCCGGGGGGTTGCGGGTTCCTCCATCCCCGGTCAGGACGCTGGCCTGGGTTGCAGGCTGCTCGGGCTGGGTTTGTGTAGGAAGCGGATCGATGTTTCTCTCCGAGGTCGGTGAACGTGGCTTCGGGTGAGGATGTTTAAAAATAAAAATAAATTAAAACATGTCTAAGTCTGAGGCCCTGGCTGGGCAGCTCAATCGCTCAGGTGGTTAGAGCACCGTCCCGGTGCGCCCACATTGCAGGGTCGGGGTCCCGCAAGAACCAACCAGTGAGTGCGTGATTTAGGGGAGCAACAAATCGGGGTTCTCTCTCCCTCCTTCCCTCCCTCCCTCTCTCTCAAATCAGTTAAAAGATGCTTGTTAGGTGGGCAGATGGATGGATGATGGGTGACTTGGTCACTGAAAAGCAATGCTCCCTTCCCCAAGGAAGAGAGCTACGCGGTGTGTCCACATGGTCCTTTGGCCGTGGCAGAGCTTAAACTAAGAGCATCCCCTTGTTTTTTTTTCCTTTTTTAAAAAAAGATTTTTATTTATTTATAGAGAGGGAAGGGAGGGAAAAAGAGAGAGAGAGGAACATCAATGTGCGGTTGCTGGGGGCCGTGGCCTGCAACCCAGGCATGTGCCCTGACTGGGAATCGAACCTGTGACACTTTGGTTCGCAGCCCGCGCTCAATCCACTGAGCTACGCCAGCCGGGAAGAGCATCTCCTTCTTACCGGACTCAAAGCTGTGGGGAAGCCCCATGTAAATACTTGGTGACACACATTTCGTCGAGGACAGTGGAGGGCTTTCCACGAGGTGGCAGAGGTGCAGACCACGGGGGAGAAACTCCGACGCTCCCCGTGGCTGGCGGGCCGGCAGTGGGCTGGGGGCAGGGGCTCTGGCCCTTTAACAGCCCAGCCCGCAGCTTTGGATTCCGATGGCAGTTGATAAGGGAGGGTCCTGGAAGACGAGGAACGCGGGAAAGCCCAGAATCCTCAGCTTCCAGGAGCTGCACACGGGGTTTTTAGCCTGGACGGCCAGCCTGAGCTGGGCCGCTGTTCCCCGGAGCTGCTGACGCCGCCGGACGGAGAGCCCGAGGGTCCCGCCCGCCCAGGTGAGTGGGGCTTGTGTGCAGTTCCTTTTCCCCCGGTCCTTACGCCGGGACAGCTGGTTTGGGGGAATTATGCCCCCGAGGGCCCCTCCTTGGGCTCTGGGCTCCCTTCCCCCAGCTTCCTTGCAGCCCACCAGGACAGGCGTTTTGCCCACCGTCCCTGGGTCCCCATGGGCCACTCCAGCCCTGGTACCCACAAGGTCATTGCTAGTGCTAACCGCGTCCCCGTCCTCGGCGGTCTCCCCCGGCCTCGGTTTCCCGGGCACAGAAGGCACAGCGGAGACGGGAAGAACTACTGGCTCTTGACACGGACTGCGAGTTCTCTCCCCCGGGCCTTGGCCGGTGCGCCCCTGGCCGGGGACCCAGCCCTTAGCCCCCTTCCTCCTCTCACCCCCAGGAAGCTCCCAGCCTCCTGTCCCCCGCATCACCTCCCCTCCCGGTGTGACGGCACCCTTTCTGGGGTGACTCCTCAGGCTGCCTCACCCGAGGACGACCGAGCGTTCTGTTTGTTCGGCTCTGTCTCTGGCAGTTAGTCCCTCAGCCCCAGGGACGTGGCGACCTGAAGGTCCCTTCCTCAAGGTCCCCAGGCTCAGCCCTAGCCACCCCACCTGCTGCCCATGCTTCTCCGTCTCTTCCTGTCCCTGCCAGCACCCTGGGCCTCGCTGGTCCACTGCCCCCACTACTGGGGGCTGGTGGGAGCAGGGACAGCCCGCTCAGGCCACAGTGCCTGCTGGCGGGGGGCGGGGGCACCTGGTAGATATTTAACCAAGACCCTCCCAGTGAAACCCAGAAAGTCTGCTTCCACTCCCTGCTGCTTCGAAGTCCACGCGAAGAACCCCGGCTGCCCTGGGCTCCGCCAGGCTCCGGGCCTGGGGGTCTCAAAGATGGCCCCTCTAGGCCTCGCAGGGCGTGCTGGGCCCCAGCCAGGCCCCAGGCCCTCAGGGCCGGCCAGGCGGCTCCGGGAGCAGGAATCCCTGGAATGCGGTCCCAACTCCCAGGCCGGCCCCACCCGTTCCGCTCTGCAAACCCCCTCCCTGCCCGCCCGCCGGGGCTTAATCCCCGCTGGCGAGGGAGGTGCCGCCTAGAGAGACAGAGACAGCTCCCTTGACTCGCAGGAGGCCCCAGCAGCCAGGGGCTGGCCTCAAAGCTTCTGGATGTTTGTTGCTGCCGTCGTGGGGCGGGCTGTGCAGCGGGGGTTCGGGGGCGTCTGTAAGGAATACAAACTTGGCTGCTAGCGCCGCACCTGCTTCCCGGTTGCGTCACAGGGGTTGCATGTGTCCTTGCCATTAAACCCCCGTGCAGCTGCTCCCCCTGCGCCCCTACTGCGCGCCTGTCTTGGCCGGGGGACTCAATGCGGTCCCCCCAGAGCCCATGCGTGGTGGTAAGATGTTCTGATTTTCACAGATGAGGAGCTCAGAGAGCCTGGGTGACTTCCCCGAGGCCACACAGCGAGGAAAGGAAAGGGCTGGGGCTGGATCCTGCATGGGGGGGGCCTCCAGAGTCCCCCCTCCAGCCCCCGGCCCTGCCGGTTTGCAGGCTCCGTGTCCGCGTTGCCACACGCGGCAACTGGGACGGCAGTGGCTCTGCAGCCGGGGCCTGTGGCTCTCTGCTCCTGAGGGCTTCCCACGGCCCCACGCAGCCCACTCCCCATCCCCAGGCTGCCCGTGGCCCTCGGCTGCCCCTGTGGGGCTTTCACGACTAGGAATTGTTTCTGTGGGAAAAGATCCAGGAGCACCAGACTGGCTTAGGAGATGGGCACATTCTCCATGGGGACAGGGTCAGCATGCTAGCCTGTGGCCTCCCACACCTGGCACCGGAGGGGGGTGCAAGGGCTGCAGAAGGGTGCCCCGAGGCCGCCACACCAGCCCTCGCCTTTTTGGGTTCCCACGGCTCGCTGAGAATTCCCCCGCCGAGGAGTAACCGCCTGAAATAGAACAGCTGACATAGGGAACCGGGGGCCAAAGTCCGAGGCTGCTGGTGCCCAGTGCCTGGCCACGAGCCGCAGGCCAGCCCCTCCATCCTGGGCCTGCCTCCCACTCCCCACTTCCTCGCAGTTTTTCAGGCTGTTTACATCCCCCTGAAAGCAGCGTGGGCCCGAGCACCTGCAGGGAACGTGGTCCAGGCCTCCCCAAGGCTGAGGCTGGGCTTGCTCAGAGCTGCCTTCCCCTGGGCGGGGGGGCAGCCTGCGGGGGGCAGAATCCTAGGCTGAGCGCCCCCCACGCCCAGCCTGGC